TTGTAAAAATAAAATAAATAAACACAAAAGTACAAAAATTGTACTGCATGGTTTTGTCTACAAGTGTATTTTAGCATTTTTATTATTTTTTAATTTTTTAGTTTGTCTGATAAATTGATATTTGCCCAGGCTGCTTGCTGTTTTGTGTCTGTGTTATTAATATAACTCAACTGCAATACATTCATCATCATCTGCCTGCTGGCAAGATCTCATTTTTCATTCTCAGTTTTTGAGTTTAGATATGTTAAAGATGTGCTCATCCGCAAGTTATTTATTTTATTTAGGGTTTATCATTTTGTTGTCTTTTTTTTAATTTTATCTAACAGTGCAATGATGCTTCGGTCTATCACTCTATACCGCCATATTTTGTAGAGTTAAAATAAATAAATGATATATTTAAACCGGCGAATAAAAGAATAAATAAATGAATGAAGAAAAAATAAAACAGCTGAAAAAAGAACGAATCGAATGATTGAATGAATGAGTGAGAGAACAAACAAATAAACGAATGAATGGCATCTGATACATAATAGATAAACTGATGCGTAGTAAGTGCTTTATCTCTCCACACGTTCCATTGGTGATCGAACATCCAAAGATGTTCCGATGATAATCTCATCCACATCTCCTCAAAAATGCACGCCGTTGTACGCTAATTATTATCGACAATTGTACTGCACATTAATCTTTTTTTCTTTGACTCATTACGCTCAGTTCATGTTCCGTAAAAATCATGTTGTTTTTATCGTCATAATGTAATGTTGCTGATGTCATAAAATAAAAGTTGTTGTTCTTGTTGTTGTTCTTGTTGTTGTTCTTGTTGTTGTTCTTGTTGTTGTTATTGTTGTTGTTATTGTTGTTGTTATTGATATTGTTACATGTTATCGTTATTGTTATTTATTATGTCTGTTGTTCTTTTTATGCGTTGCTTTCGCCGTTGATGTAACTTATTTCAATCAGATGAACTTTAATTCCTTCCTCCATATCTTCCTTCCTTCATTCAGACGACTACATTGCAACATGCATCAAATGCCGCACATTTTTTCCAACTTATTTAAGACGGATTTTTTCAGAAGAAAAATGTAATTTTTTTAAAGTTTTTGTTCATTCAAATTGTGGGTTAGTTTTTATCATTGGAGCAAAAACAAAACTTTTTATGGCTCTCCTTTCTCTGTTTCTCATTCCCTCACTTATTCACTCACTCATTCAGTCAACCACTTGTTTATAACTTAACGTTCACTTGAGCAATATCATCAGCATAAAACATCCCAGTAACTTGTTATCTTTGTGTAAGTATGTACAGTACATCGTATATGTATAAGTGTGTGTGTGTGTGTGTGACTGTGTATGTGGTGTGTGTGTTAAATTAAAGCTATTTGAATTTTTCGAATAATTTGACACTTTGTTACATATAAAAGTTATATACATACACACATTATGATGTTTTCCCATTCGAGCTCTGTTTGAGCCCTATCCAGTCATCACCAACATCCAAGATTGATTTTTTCATCTGTTTTGTCAAATCGATCAAGGTATATATTTAAGACTTGTGAATACGAATGAGTAGTTAACAAACAATTAGCAATCGACAATATCAAATGATTTTTCAAATTTTTTATTACATTAAAGTATTTCGTACGTCCTTTTGAACAAAATGACGAGGTCGTTGGCGTTGATTTAAAAAATATCTAAGTTAATGACTTGGGCACTTACTGAACTTTATATTCAATTAGTGGCTTAAGCCTGAAAACTGATTTTTTTTTAATTTTTGTATTATTTTTATTAAACATATTTTTAAATTGATATTAGTTGAAAAAAAATTGGAAAAATTACTCGAGAGATTATATCAATAATATAACTATTTAAACAGTTTTTCTGATGATCAAGATCTGGGAATAGTGGGTTTCGTCAGGCTGGTCATTTGGATTGTGTTATTGAGCTTAAAGGGCCACAAAAAAAGTTGGAGAAGCCCCTAAAATTAATTTAAAATTTGTTTTAAACCAGCTTCGATGTCGCCATCAAAATCTTTAAAATCATCATAATCTAATTTATCATTTTTATTTTTGTTATCATCATCATCATCATCTCCTTCATTATCACAATCATCCTCTTCTTCAACATCTTCAACGTTGGTCCTAATTAAAAACCGGTACGTTATTTTTTCACCTCTCCATACATTTTTGTAGTAAATAAACAAGACTCGAATATTTTTCGTGTGAACCCCCTTGTGTGTGCAGGCACTGCAGTGAAGTGAAGAATATAAACGAATAAGACCATGTATCAATAATTTGGATGTATGTTTCTATGTGTGTGTATGTATGTATGTATGTATGTATGTATGTATGTATGTATGTATGTATGTATGTATGTATGTATGTATGTATGTATGTATGTATGTATGTATGTATGTATGTATGTATGAATGTATGTATGTATGTATGTATGTATGTATGTATGTATGTATGTATGTATGTATGTATGTATGTATGTATACTATTCAGCAACGGTCCTTGACACGATATTAGCAGTATAAATTTTAGCGAAACAAAACTCGAACTGCAAGTTCAACAGATTAAACTACTGGAGGAGTGCTAACAGACAAATAATCGAAAGTTTTTTTTTAACTCCCTATGTACATATGCCTGTGTATGTATGTGTCCGTGTGCTTGTGTGTATGTGTGTGGTGTGTG